TAATAAGTTATCACCTGAAATAATATACAACCATGAAATTGATGTAAAGTTAAATACTAAAGTAAAAATAAGGCTGATAGAAAATGCTTTACTGGCCAGGAGTTGTTGGCTCACACCTTTAATCTCAGCACTCAGGAGACAGAGGACAGGCAGATCTCTGAGTTCAAGGCCAACTTGGTCTACAGAGAGAGTTCCAGGAAAGCCAGGGATACACAGAGAAATCCTGTCTCAAAAAATCAAGAAAAGCAAGAAAATGCTTTACTGTTCTGAAGGCAAAGGCATTACAACAACACATGGAAGTGAACATAAGTGACTGTTTCCTTCTGGTTACTGGGCTTTTCTGGAGTTAAGAATGCTGTTGAGGGCAGGTCCAGGCAGTCAGATGTCAGGCTCAAAACCAGAGGTGCAAGAGTAACCAGTTCACCTCTGGATGTTTCCATAAGGAAGTGTTTGTGTACTGGCCTATGCTCTGAGCTGTAGTGAAATGATGGAAACCGAGCAGGCAGGACATTGTCTCTTGACTGTCTTGAATTTGAAAGCCACTTCAGTGGCCCTTGACTCAAGCCCTGCCTCTCTCAGCAGCAGCACCTAGCTTGAATCAGGACACACAGTGACCTTAATCTGATCCAGCTCTGGGCCACTCAAGTTCCCTCGCATGGCAGACATTGTAACTCTCAAGTCGTGACCTGAGGTCTCTGAGCAGCTAAATGAGAAGAAGGAATTTGGGCTGGGATCTGCAATAGTTGAGCACCTGGTGTTTCTTCTTGGAACTTTAGCACTAAAATGCCCATAAACAGTTATAGATGCCCTGCAGTTTAGCTTTAGCTTCTTTTCCAAAACTGGGTGTGAAGAAGTGAATGGTCAGCAGAAGGTAGAGTTCCACCCTGGCCCTGCTCCTGCTCTAGAATGCTACCACCAGCTGGCCAGGCGGTGTATGCAAAGCCCGGACACAGGATGATCTCATGTGCCAAAAGCAGGGCTCAGGTTATGACAGCAAGGATGAGATCATCTTTATCCATATCACTGCACCACCAGAAGTGCCTTACAGAGCAGAAACCTTTATTTACTGTTGGCATGCTGCCACTATCTGAATATAAACTAATCAAGGCTACCCTATGTCACTGTTAATGCTATTTGCTCCTATTTGATGAGTCTGATCAAATTATTTTACACACGGTATTTGCTGTATTTTATTCTCTTTCAGAAAACAAACTATCAGAGAACATCATTGGTCCATATCTCCTAACTTGACAAGGACAACCCTAAACAAACACTGAACACACAGTTTTCATTGACTCATCTCCCTTGACCCTGCCTCCACATTTGAGACCAACACCTAGCATGCTATCTGAAAGCCTTTGAAGTTAGACAACTCCAGGCTGGGCATTGGTGGCGCACGCCTTTAATGCCACTTTAATCTGCACTCGGGAGGCAGATCTCTGTGAGTTCGAGGTCAGCCTGGCCTACAGAGCAAGTGCCAGGATAGGCTCCAAAGCTACACAGAGAAACCCTGTCTCAAACGAATAAAAACAAAACAAAAACAATTAGACAACTCCAGTCCCACTAGTTCTGCTATGAAAACAGAAAAATGAATCACAAGAAATAAATGAACAGGTCAAGATCCATCTGGGTGTGAAGAACAATCCAGAACCCAGGAACAGGAAGAGCAGGCTTCATAACAGACAGGGTAATCCCATGACTCCAAAAGGATACTTCATAAACTTGTCCCCACATTCCTAACAAGACAACGTACTTGTAGTAGTCCAGACTTTCATCTAAACACCTGGATCTTTTAAGGGCTGTAGTGAACAGGATGCTAATATTTGTTGTGTGCTAACAATGCACTGAGAAATACTATATGGCGTTACCGAGGCTATTTATAGATGAGGTTCCTGAACACAGAGAGGCTAGGTGACATGCCTTACTGTTTTACAGCTAAGCAGAGTCTTGACCAGGATTCCAGTACCAGCTCCATTGTACTGCTCTGTTGCCTCTCCAGGCTTAAGCTAGCAGACTCAAGAGGAAGTGTCATTCACTGCCCCTCTGTACAGCTCCTACATGGGTAAACAAAAAGACCAGCTACAGGGGGATTCAGAGGATGGTGGAGCCTCAGATTAGGAGAAACATTGGCCACTACACTACAAAAGCCTCAAGAGTTCTCCCTAAACTTTATTTTTGTTAATGAATGAACTTAAGAGCCAATGTTCCTTAAAAAATGCCAATAAATCCTGGCAAACAGCAGCTTCCTCACCTCAGAGAGGCAGGAGGGCAGGAGAAGCCACTGTATGCTGCCTCTGGCCAGTGACTTCCTGGGACAGCTTGAAGATAAGACACTTTTTTGTCCCAGGCTTGCCAGGCTTTTAACCTTTCTGAGCCAATTCCTGTTTTCCCTCCAGTATAATTCTTTAACAGTTCAAAATCAACACATTTGAGTTTGAATTTTAAAAACAAATAAGGTCTATGAATCCCTGCACTTCCACGAAGTCCAGTTCCCCCAGTTTCTAGACTGTCCAACATAAAATGTCTTGCATATCTACTGCAGTCAAACAAAACAGGTGTTCGGCTCAGTCGGCCTCTCTCCTTGCTCAAGCCTGGGCAGATCCAAAGTTCCCATAAAGGGAAGATCAGAGCGAGAAAGAGCCATGCAGAAAGGCTGGGCTCTGATGGAGGCAGGAGACAGTGCTGTGGCTCTGGAAGCTGAGGTTCTCCAAGTCCAATACCTCGGAGTGCTTTCCACAAGTGAGGGTGTGTGGGGTGGGAGGCTAACAGTTCAACACGACCACACAGTGGCCTGGAGATGAACTGGGTGTCAGGAAAGAGCTGATTTCTAACTGGCCAAACTTGCTGGGTGTCCTGAGGGCCTTAATTTTCTTTTCAAAATCTAACTCCTATGATCCCTAAAACCAAAAGCAGAAGGAAGTGGTGAAGAGGGAAGAAGGGAAGTTTCTTTTGAATTCCATGACTTTGGATTTCCTTGATGTCCTGCTGAAGAACTCAGCAGTAACCAGGGAGTTATTACATTGCCACTTCCTGTATCACTGCACACACACGTGACAGATGAGTCCCTTTCTCCCTGTCAGGGAAGGGCAGCTCCAAAGTGGACAACTAGACAGTAAGCTGAGAAATACAGGTCTCTGAGTGTGGTCAGAAGCAGAGCTTAGCTAGGATGAACTGAGTTTTCCACGTGATGCCATGACAGGCTGGTGGGGGAGGAACACAGATTTCAAAATAAGCTGCATGACCATTTCCCTGACAATCAATGATGAAAACAACAACTGCAGAACCTTCCAATGGAACAGTATACTGGCCAGAGAGCCATATCAGCCTGATCTCCCCAACCCTGATCTTATAGTCATGGCTAGGTAGGCCCGGGTCAAATGATTCTCCACAGTTGCCACCCACTCCTCAGTTTCTGCTTTCCCTGCTCAGAGACAATTCTGACTCTCTCCACATCCACCAATACACTGTAAAATGATTTACATAAGAATCACTTCCTATCTGTACATGTGGGAAGGGGAGGAGGCTTAGGTAGTCCCTCTATGGCTGTGATCATGGAAAAACGAGGCTTAGAAATTCATGGGAAGCACACCTTCTGATCAATGTTCAAGTCTTACAAGGTTGGTTATCATGTCAAACAATCTCACAGGTGCATATCTGGACCCGAGAGGTTTGGTTAGACCCCAGGAAAGTGCTACAGAAGAAACTAGCGTTGTTGTCATTACAAATCAGTGACACCAAGAATCTAATATGCTCCAAATCTAGAGTAAGTGTCTTTATCCACATGACCTTATAGAGTTCTTGTAAGAACTTCATGAGGTAGGACAGTTTTTATGATAATTTTATAGATGGGAAAACCGAGGCTGAGCTGTGAAGGAGCTTAGTAAAGAACAGACTGGAAAGACAGGGATCCTTCTGAACAGGCAAGATGCCCTCCTGTCCTGGGCCCCATCCCTGATTGCATCCCTGACACCATCCCTGACCCCATCCTTGACCCCATCCCTGGCCCATCCCTGACTTCAGTCCCTGATCCCATTCCTGACCCCATCCTTGACCCCATCCCTGGCCCCATCCTTGACCTCATCCCTGACCCCATCCTTGACCCCTTCCCTGACCCCATCCTTGATCCCTTCCCTGACCCCATCCTTGACCCCTTCCCTGACCCCATCCTTGACCCCATTCCTGACCCCATCCTTGACCCCATCCTGACCCCATTCCTGACCCCATCCCTGGCCCCATCCTTGACCCCATCCCTGGCCCCATCCTTGACCCCTTCCCTGACCCCATCCTTGACCCCATCCCTGGCCCCATCCTTGACCCCATCCTTGACCCCATCCCTAGCCCCATCCTTGACTCCATCCCTGGCCTCATCCTTGGCCCCATCCCTGGCCCCATCCCTGACTTCAGTCCCTGACCCCATCCCTGACCCCTTCCCTACCCTCCCTGGCCCCATCCCTGACCCCATCCCTACCCTCCCTGGCCCCATTCCTGACCCCATCCAGCCTCCAGCCTCCTCTGCTCACTCAGTCTCTGCTTGTCAGTTGCCATTTTTCCTTCCCCTGCCATAGAGGAAACACTTGACTGCTAGGACTTCCCAGACAGTCTCAGGAAGCAGTCTCTGCTCCAAACAGAGTAGTTAAGTCCCTGGCAGGCTTATGCCATGCTATCAATGTAAAGCTGCTCAAACTCCAGCTGAATACCTACTGGTGGGAAGGGCATGCAAAGGTGTACGAATCTCAATCCAGAAAAACAAGAGTGATTGTCCAATTTCAGAGGTATGGACAGCCCATCCTGTTGTATCTGCAATACACCCCCACCCACTTATTTTCATAGATACCACACCTATGACCATTTTCTCTATAACATTCAGGAATGCAAGCAGAACTTGTAGCCAGAGGCAGACAAGTCAAAGGTGTTCCAGAGGTAGGCTACAATTGTACACACTTGGATTTGGGAGTGGAGTCAAGGGGAGGAACTAGCTGGAATAAACACATGGTTCTTACCCTTTCTATCTCCTGGAGGTACAAGAGTGCGATGTCCCCAGCTTTCTCATAGCAGGTGATGACATCCTGTTCCCGGTCCACATGGAGATTACTGGTAGAGGACGAAACAGGCAGCTTCTCTAAACAAAGTCCTAAGAGCAAAGCAAACACACAGAAACTGGATCAGGTGGTTTTCGTGGGACTCAATTTTAGGTATCGCTCTAGGGGGCCAGAAAATGGTTTGTGCCATAAGAGGCTATGGGAGAAGTAGATCCTCCAGCCTGTCCTCCATTTTTTGAGTCAGGGTCTCACTATGTAGTACTGGCTGGTCTAGAACTCCCTAAGTAGACCAAGATGGCCTCGAACTGGCAAAAATTCACTTGCCTCTCTCCCTCTGCTACTTAATTAAAGACATGTGACACCACACCCTGATTGTCCTCTCTTAAGGACAAGCAGAGCATCAGAGTGAAGCCCCAGAAGGCATACTTACAGCTGCAGAAGAGGCTACTCACAACGCACAGCCGTCTGCTTCAGCTTGATTCAGTTTGAACTATGAGGGCCCTTTACCGTGAGCCCTTCCAGTGCTGAAGAGTATGGTGTCATTGATATGTCAGCCTGCCCACACATTTTGGGTGTCTGCAGGGTGTTTCTGATAGGGTTTACACTTGGGTTGGTAAGCTGAGTTAAGTGGGCAGGCCTCCTCTAGTCACCTGGATGGAACAGCACAACAGCTAAGAGAGAAAAGCATGGCCTTTCCTGGCTGAACAGCGGCACTGGCTCCTCTTGGCCTGGGGCCTGCTGGCTCTCAGACTGAAACCCATGCTTCTGGGTCTTCGAGTTCCCAGGACTTCAGACTGGACTGGAAGTACACCAGCAGCTCCCCTGGGGTTACAGCAGTCAACTAAAGGACTTACCTCCTACTCACCCTGTCCCAGGAGGTTCCTGACTAATACAAAGACTCCCTCAACGATGCCCAAAGCTCTTCCACAATTTTTAAAAATAAGCAAAACTGGCAGTTGTTGCTTCAATCTTAAGTGTCCCCAGATGCCTTTATGTTAAAGGCATGACCCCAGAGTGGTGCTCCTGGGAAGATGAGGGTCCATTAAGAAATGGCAGCTTGTGGGAAGTCTCTGGGTCACTGGGGCATACATTGGAATAAGTTTTCAATGCTCTGAGGGAGCGGTACCCAGAAACTAGGGAAACCTTTTCACATTCAGACTAACGCTCAGGCCCAAGAGTTTAGGAATAATTAGAATACATGGATCGTTTCTCAGTTCTGGGCTAAAAGAAAACCCACAACATTGTCAGGAGCCATTTTTCTCATAGAAACAACTCTTTACCAGGGTAGAGTCCGAAAATGATAGTAAAAAGCATTCAAGGCTCAAAAAATGCAACGTGAGGAAGAGCAGACATTTCTTGACCCCAGTGCCCACCAACCTTCAACTGGCCTAGAGAAATTACACTCAGTTTTAAGCACTGAAAGTATCATAATTTGTGGTGATTTGAATAGGAATGACCCCACAGACTCATGTGTTTGAATGCTTGTCCCATAGGGAGTGGCACTATTAGGAGGTGTGGTCTTGTTGGAGGAACTGTGGCCTTGCTGGAGGAAGGGCTTTGAGGCCTCCTATGCTCCAGGTATGCCCAGTGTGGCAGTCTCTCCCTGCTGCCTGTAGATCCAGATGCTGAACTCTCAGCTCCTTCTCCAGCACCATGTCTGCTTGCACGATGCCATATTTCTTGTTGTGCTGATTATGGACTAAACCTCTGAACAGCAAGCCAGACCCAATTAAATGTTTATAGGAGTTGCTATGGTCATGGTGTCTCTCCATAGCAACAAAAACTTGCTTTCTGCTTAGATGTAGCCAGTTCCCAGTTCTGCCCTCAGCTTTAGACCGTCACCAATCTATTATCTCCACAGTTTACTCCTCCACAGAGCTGAGCGTCCTGTCTGTCTCCACAGAGCTGAGGGTCCTGACTTCACAGAGCTGAAGGTCCTGTCTGTCTCCACAGAGCTGAGGATTCTGTCTGTCTCCACAGAGCTGAGGGTCCTGTCTGTCTCCATAGAGCTGAGGATTCTGTCTCTGAAGATCTACTGTCTGACTTTTAAACAGCATTCCCCCAGAGGGCAGGAAGAGGCATCTCACTGTGTTTAGAGTCATATTTCCATGACCACCGACTCTAATCATCCACTTGTTCGTGTGCCTACTTGTTATCTACACATCTTTAGTCAAGCATCTGTTAAAATGTTTACCTTGCTAACGGGATTGCTAATTTTCCTACTGACTTGACAGTTTTTATATAATCTAGATACAAATGTTAGATTTGTGATGTGGAAATATTTCCATTCTATGAATTCTTCTTCTTTTTTTTTTTAACAGTTTTTAAGAGGACACTTGCCCTGGGGGGCTAGAGATCAACCACGAGCCACCCAGCACCATGAGGCCCAGACACAAGGAGGACATTTTTTAAAAAGCAGAAATAAACTTTTGATGAAATCCAATGTATCCATGTATCCATGTTTTCTTTAATAGGGCTGAGTTTGAGCTAACAAGGCTTTGCACTGCATGATCCTCTAGAATTGGAATGTAGGAGTGTGATCCATACTACCATCATTTTTACACACACTGCAAGGTATAGACTGAACTGACCTTTTTGCAAATAGACCTCCAGCTTTCTAATTTCCCATAGCTGAACATTTTCCTGATGAAATGCACTTTTCTGGAAAATCATATGGGCACCACCAATGGGTGCATTTCCTGACTGTCTTCTGTTACAGTGATCTGTCTATGCTCACACCAATGTCTGGTGAGCACCCTCACAGTTATCTGTCTATGCTCAAACCAATGTTTGGTGAGCATACTCACTGTTGGGAGAACTGAAAGCTGCTGGCAGGACTCTGGAGGGAGAGGACAACTCCAAGTTGAAGTCTGTTCTGAATTCTTTCCTCCATGCCTTTTACCTCTATTGATTTTAGTCTGTGTCTCTTTGTGTAATACACAGTAAACATGAATGAATTTTCTGAAGTGTGAGCATTTTCCTGCAATCAGTGGCATAAAGATAGTCACGAGGAACACTGACAGGCATTAGAGAACATAGTTGAATTCTTCTAACTTTGTCACAATGTGTTTCTGACCTAGAATACAGTCAATCTTGTAAGTCTTGCTAGAAGAGAATGTGTATTCTATTGTAACGTGGAATGCCACACAAAGGTCGGTGGGATCAAGTCAACACACTGTGTTCCTGGGCTTCTCTCTATAATTTATTAGTCTGTTATCTTGCTCTCCATTTATTGAAACAGGGTACTGAGTCATTGCATAACTGTGCATCTGCCCATTTCTCTGTGAAATCAGCTGTTCTTCATGTATTTTAAAGCTTGTCTGCTGGCTATATAAACTCTAGAATTGTTATTAGATCCCTTAATAGATTGTCTTCTTTGTTTCAACAGCACCTTTGTTGATTTTAACCCTTCCTTCCTTATTTTCCATTCTGAGGATCTTTCAGTTTTAGTGTTTGGAACGTTTACATTTAACCAAACAAGTTGACACACACCCATGATCCCAGTATTCTTGAGGCTGAGGACCATGCATTTGAGGCCAGCCTGGGTGACACAGTGAGATTCTATCTCAAAAAACAAACAAATCCCCACAGTGACATTTACTGAAATTTGTGTTTGTCCTATGTGCCTGTGTTCTGTTTCTTCCCCCTCTTTTTCTGCTCTCTATTTGGCTAGCATTATTTATCTCACTTGTTAACTTGTCTGTTGCTTTTGGTTTCTGTCTGTTATGATCTGTTTCAAATGACTTTACATGCTGTGAACAACCTTTATCACTGGATGATTTATTTCATCTGTCCTCTTATAGCTAGCATTTGTATTAAGTAGTCAGTTACATATTCAAGAATCTTACTTTCTATTTTCAACAATATAGTTGGGCTCTTCTGTGCTAAACATTCATTGTGTTGATTCACATTTCCTTCCTTTTTTCTTCTGCCCAAAGCAATTCCTTCAATATATTTGGTGGGATGGCCCTACTACTACCTAGCTGCAGTATGCCTGGGAGATGCTGCATTTGACCTGCATCTTTGGAGCTGTTTCACTAGGAAGGGAACTCAAGATTGGTGCTTTGCTTCCCCCTCAATCCTCCTCTAAAGATGTTGCTTCACTCAACCCCCCCCCAACATGTTTCCTGAAGAGAATCCCATTTCTCACCCTAATGTCTGCTCATTTATATGGGTCTCTTTTTCTGGCTTTATCATTGGGTGTGAGCAGTTTGAATTATGAAGTACTTGAGCTTCACTGAGCTCCTAGAACTGAGTGTTTACAGTTTCGTAAAAACTAGAAAAGTGTTTAGCCATTATTTCTTCAGAAATGTTTATGTTGGCGGTGGAGATGGTTCAGTGGATAAAATACTTGCCATGATTCCGAGTTCAGATGCCCAGAACAGAAGTGTGGTAGCACTTCCTGAAATCCCAGCACTCAGATAGTGAGACAGGAGGCAGAGACAGGAGAACCCCCAAAGGCTTGTGGTCCAGCTCATGGTGTATGCAGAGGGAAAACAAGAGACTGAGCCTCATGCAAGAGGAGAGGCAAGAACCCACAAGCAGGTTGCCTCAAACTTCTACGTGTGTCCTGTAGTAGACACATGACCGCACCCACACATATGACAATATACAGATCACTTACACACAAAGATAAAAACGAAATTCTTATGTTCCCCATTTCCTTTCCTAGGTGACTTTAATTACAGATGTATCAAGTCACCTAAAATTGTCATATGGTTGTTATATTCTAGTTTGATCCCTATGCTGTGAAAAAAAGCACCCTGACCAAAAGTAACTTACGACAAGAAAGTGTTTATGTGGCCTGCAAAGCAATTATTGGCCTATACCTTCATGCCACAGTCCATCACTGAGGGGAGTCAGGGCAGGAACTCAGGCAGGAACTTGAAGTGAAAGCATGGAGGAATGCTGCTTGTTTGTTTGCTCTATGCTTACTTAGATTTCTTATATGGCCCAGGACCACCTGCCAGGGAATGGTGCCACCCACAGTGGGCTGGGCCCTTCTCTATCAATTAACAAACAAGACAACCCCCATAGACTGCCCACACTCAATTGCCTACCCTCTTAGGTGACTATAGGCTGTGTCAAATCA